CTGCCTCCTGCCGTGCAACTTTCCTTGTGACCCATGAACTGATGTCTTTCTATCCAATGCCATAGAACAGGCTATCCTGCCTCCAGTGTCCTGCTGCCTATTCCATTGACTTCTGCGTATGGAGAGGAGGGTTGTGTTTTCTCTTTTGTCTCAGCAAGCAAAATGTCTCTTAGGATGATGAAACATAGCTTGCAGAAGTTCTTCCCCTGAAAGCATGGTTTTAAAGCCCATTCTATATTCTAGTGTAGTTTTTTTAGGTCAACAAATACAGTGGATTATTATGAGATCGTGCATATAACAAAAGCTGAGACACAAGTTTCCTCCTCCCACATTTTGCATTATACTGTCGGAATAATCACATTGCACCTCTTCTTTTCATTCTGTGTGGAAACCTAGTGAAGGTGCTCCTGCAGTGCCCCAGAACCTCTTGCCTCTTCTCCCACCCTGTCTCTGTGTTCCCAGTTTCAAAGGACTAAGCCTTCCGGCAGGATAACAAAGCTACTCCAAGGTGTTGTTTCACTCCACAACATGATTGTAGTCTGTAACGTACAAGTGATGCTGGCAGGATTAAAATAATGTGGGGCTATTCTAGGCTTTAATGAGATTAGCATGCTAAGGACAGGGACCCAGAGGGGAGAGGGCAGTTTGAGGCCTCAAAGGATGGCAGTGGCCAAGGCCGACGTTCCCTCTGCCAGCTCCTGGCATTGCTGCTGGGTAAGAGCTGCAACATGGCTCTTTTCCGCTGGCAGAGGGGGAAGAAGGAGAGCCCCAGCCCCATGGGAGAGGGCCAAATGGAAAAGGACCCAGCATCTGCTCCCTGTTGAGAGTGGGGAAACCAGGACAGGCCCCAGGTAAGCACAAGGGATAGCGACGGTGAGGGGAGGAGGTCATTCCTCACCAATATAGGACTGTTATTGGGTCTGGCAGAAGAAGAGGTCTTAGGAAAAGAGATGTGGGGAGAAGTGATGGAGCAGCTCGCAAAGAGAAGTGTGTGTGTGTGTATGACTTTAAGACACTGATAGTGTGGAAGGACAGTATAAGAGAAAGCGAGTGTAATGAAATGGCATGGGTAGTGTGAGTTTTTGTGCGTATATGGTTTAAAGCAAGGTCATGCTGATATATCAAGCAAAGAGAGATGCGTGTGGAGAATGATTAGTTTTGAATAGTTTTGGCTATCAAGACATGGGAGTGGAGTAAGAAGACATGGCGAGACTGAGGGAAAAGCTTCTGGGTTTTATGTGTAGGTTCCATGTGTTTGTTTATGTGTGTGTGTGTGTGTGTACCTCTGTTATGGAAGGATTTCATGTATTCCTTTCACAACTAGCATCACATCTGTTAGAAGAGAGAGACAGGCGGGCTTTGTACGATTTCAGTTACAACCTAAAGGTGGATGACAACCTCAGCAGTGCGTGTTTGTGTGAAGAGTGAACATAGGATCTAGCACTGTACTAAGTCAGGCCATTGGTATTATCTACACGTGGACTGTAGCCCTCCAGATGTTCTTTTCCCATCACTTTTCAATACTGGCATGCTAGCCTAGGCTGATGGGAGTTGGAGTTGAGCCACAGCCAAAGGACCACAGTTTCATGGCTTCTGAACAGGGTCTTAAGCAGGAATCTTTCCCAGTCCTTATTGCTGTGTGTGTGTGTGTGTGCGCGCAAGGCTGTTTGAATTATTTTAATGTAGGCCACAGAGCAGCTGGGTCCCCCTTGGATAGAACTCCAACTAGCAATGTTGGCACCCAGTGCAATCAGCGTTGCTTCCCACCCACTCTACCCTGATTAAAGGCATGATGTTTTCCAAGAAAAAGGTCATGCCCATGGTACTCCATTAAAAAAAAAGGGAAGAGGAAGTTTATGCTTTTCATCCCCCCTCCCAAAAAAGGGAAAGAAAGAAAATTAATAGATGTATTGTTGGATGTATTGTTGTTTATTTTTTTGTGCCCCCCCAGTGGATACAGCTCTAGCTTTCAGTGCCTTTTACATTTTTGTGCCCTGGGGCAAAGCCCCAGTTGCCCTATCCTACTTACAGTCCTGCATATAACTTATACATTCTTATGTCTAAAAACTTGGTAGCTGAAGCAACCAGTTATAGCTACTGGGGCCACCCAAGATGGTGCCAATATTGCACTCATTGAAGGCGCTGATCTAGAAATTTGTGTGGCATACTGCTGCACCAATAAGGTTCTCTGTTCTTTAGTGGAATCCTGTGTTTAGTGTTGTAGAGAGAAAAACATCCCTTCTACCCTCTGTGTTTGTCTCAAACAACATAATAGAAGACATCACTTTATCTCCATTTCCCATTAGTCTGCCACGCTTCTAGTAAGGCAGACATGCCCTTCACTGGATACTGCATTTCACCTTGCCTCCAAGTGTCAGCTGGTATCCTTTGCTCTTGGTATTCTGAGTATAGAATTCAAAGAAAAGATATGTAGGAATTGGTGATTGGGTATATGCCTAAATCCCTGTGCCCCACTGCATCTGGCACTAATTTATAGGCAAATATGTCCCCATAAGGTCCCCCTGAATGAGCAATTGTAACAAGGAGAGGAGTCCAATTTGCATCTGTGTGATATGCCTGCAACAACATAGATATTGGGATTAACCCAGGCTAAAGGTTGAAAAAAAGGAAACCAGCGGGTGATAACATATTATGGGGAAAAATAGACTTCCAACCAAGTCATGGATGGGAATACTACATGGCCTGACTGAATAGTTCTGTTTCTTTGTTTGATATCAGTCTACTTTGGTGAACAGGACAAGAGAATACATGAGGAATCAGTACAGAAGATCAGTTTCAGTTATTTTGTTGGGTAGACAAGGAAGGAAGATATCAAAGCGAGAAATTTCTGTTTAAATCATACCACTGAGGCAGCAGTATCTCCTCCATGGATTGAACAATGCTTGAGATAGGGAGGTAGAAAGGCAAAGGGGCCCTTTAAAAGTCCACTCCTTG